TCTGTGCACACGGATCCTTCCTCCATCTGTACACACAGATCCTTCCTCCATCTGTACACACGGATCCTTCCTCCATCTGTGCACACAGGTCCTTTCTCCCCGCACCCACCTGGAGAAGGCCTTCCTCTGTCTGTGCACACAGGTCCTTCCTCTCCGTGGGACTGGTGTTCTGTTGGAAACGGGCCTGCATTATGTAGTCAAATGTGCTCAACTTCTTGGCCACTGGGAAAAGGAGTACATGGAAGGACAGTCACCTGGCAAGCTGGCCTGGCCTCCCCCACACCCCTGGAACACCCTCCCAGGACTCCTGAGGGCTTGCCTGCCCTCACAGATGCCAGGAAGTCAAGAGGGGAGACAGAGGGTGGCGCCTCCTGCCTTGGGGCAGGCAGAGTGGCACATGGTGTCTGAATTACATCTGAGCTTTAGTTCCATTGCTCTAATACTGGGCCATCCCTAACTAAAGTGCTGAAAATAGAAAACATAACATAGAATGTACCTATAAATTGGAACGAAACACATTAGGGGTGGGAAAGTGGTTACAAATGAATTAATAGTATAACAGATATCACAGAGAGCTCAAATAGTAAAATTTTGAAGAAAAACTAGATCAAAGCCCCACAAAATCAGCACTAGGAAATGATATATGCAAGAGGGGGTGGGAACAAAGGGAGAGGGGTAGATGAAGGAAGGAGGAAGAACAGTCAAAAATTCATTGCATACACATGGAATTGAGAAAAGGGAGGGAAGGGGGTGAGAATGTTGAAGGGTGATATTGATCAAGATGCATTATGTTCATAAACTGTTTTGTCACATGGTACCCCCTTTGTACAACTTCTTAAAGGTAATAAAAAATTAAAAAGAAAACATTCGGAATTATACTATAATATGTAACCTAGTGGCCTCCAAAGCAAGACAGTAGGAGCCACAGTATTGTTTAAAAATGCGTACCGTGAAGGCAGTGCTGCTCATGGACTCTGCGGTCTTGGGTGTCAGTGAGGCAGGCCTGGCCCCTGCAGCCCCAGACTTCCCCACGCCCTCCCCTACAAGGCTGCAGGGAAAGCCCAAATCTCACAGACTATTCCCCAGGAAGGCCTCAAACCAAGATCTGCAAGTCTCCACCTCCTGAGTGTTAGGTTTTACAGGTGTGAGCCACTGGCCCCAGGTCCCATCCGCTCCTTTTCCACATGTCCAGTTCTTTCCTACTTCTCCTGGTCCCCTTTCTTTGACTATTTTAAAGAGTCCCCATGTTTTCTGCAGAATGTGCATCCATAGAAGTGGTCCACTGACCACTCATGCAATGCCCGAAGAGGTGAGCGGCCAGCTGGCTGACCACAGCGGGCAGGAGGTGTTGGATGTGCAAGCTCTGCTGCGACACTCGGGTAAGGGCAGCCTGTCCATCAGCTTCCTGATGTCCACTGTTACCATTCCTACTTAATGCCTTGCTAAATCCATCTATTCATTCTGCTCCCCTCCCTCCTTTTTCTCTCTTTAGTGTCAATACCTGGCTTGAAGTCTGGACCTTGAACTACCACTCAGCTTTCTTGTTCATGGCTGGCTCTCTCCCTCCGGAATTTTTCTAGGTCATTGGAGATGGCACCTTACAGACTTTATTGCCCAGACTGGCTTCAAAACATAACTTCCTGGGGACTACAGGTGCAAGCGATCTTCCCTAAGCTCCTTCAGTTCCTTTTCAAAATATCCTGGTCTTTCCTAGAAGTCCTGTTGCTTTGCCTGGATAGTTCAAAGACTTTCCTGTGACCTCTGCAGGTCTTGTAATGTGTGTTCAGTTTCTAGCTGGACCTGATGACCTCCCCATGGATCTTTTTGCCTGGGGTTTGTCCTTTTTCTTATTAGCTTCCTTCTGGGAAAGCTACCTAAAGTGTTACCTGTCTCAGGACTAGTAAGCACAGGGAAGGACTCGGGTGAGTACACACTCAGGGCTAGTGATCACGGGGAAGGACTCGGGTGAGTACACACTCAGGGCTAGTGA